CTGTACACTGGCCAAAGGCAATGCTTTTACAAGCGACACAATCCTGTGTTATTATTCTGACAAATCTTTCCACTCAGTGGAAGCTCAGTAAGATACTGGCCAATATGTCAGAAGTAATCCGTAGGTTACTTTTAACTGAAAGGACTGCTCTTTATGTCTTACTCAAGTGGGATTTGCTTTTACTAACACTGCCAATGTACTGAGGGAAAGGTCACAGCCCAATCAGCTTATACTGTTTTAGTATACATCTAGAATTATCTGATGTCCAAGGAAGTGTAAATTGAGTGCCACTTAAAATAATTACATAATGCCTAAATTCAAAATTAAAGTAAATACATATTATAATGAAGATTATTTCCATCTTGCATGCAATTCTAACCTTTTTATCACTCTGTCTTTGGAAATCAAGATAACTCATAATCCAAAAATCCATAAACAGATTAAAATATATATTGTAAAAGATTAAAAAGTTGCAGAAAATTGAATGCAGACTTCCAAAGAATAGGAAGGAGAGACAAGAGGGCCTTCTTAAATGAACAATGCAAAGAAATAGAGGAAAAGAACAGAAAAGGAAAAACCAGAGATCTGTTCAGGAAAACCAGAGATATTAAAGGAACCTTTTAATTTGGCATCTGTTTGTATCTTCTGGACTTCTGATATTGGACTGGCTTGCCTTCTGAAACCCCTAGGAATGTGACAGATTTGTACTTTAACAATGACATATGCAACAGGGTCTGACTTCTTCTGAAGAGAAGCTGAAACAGCAAGATCTGTTTTCTTCTTAGAAAACAGTGTTTCAAATCATTAAAAGGAGTTAAACCAAATGCACAAGAATGTAGTGTAAACTGTAATTGCAGCTTCTATAGCAGATGTGAGCAACTGGAGCCAATCCAGAACCCATCCTTCATCAACCATCTCCATGACCCCCCACTATAGATACAGTGGCATAATTCCATGTCTGGAATAACTACTCTAGAATAGGCTGGATAAATTCTTAAAAGATGAAGCTGTTAAAAGTGCTACATTCAATATGCCAGCAAGTTTGGAAAACTCAACAGTGGCCAGAGGCCTGGAAAAGATCAGTCTACATCCCAATCACAAAGAAGGGCAGTGCCAAAGAATACTCCAACTACCGTACAATTGCACTCATTTCCCACGCTAGCAAGGTTATGCTCAAAATCCTCCAAGTTAGGCTTCAGCAGCATGTGGACTGAGAACTCCAAGAAGTACAAGCTGGATTTCGAAGGGGCAGAGGAACTAGGAACCCAATTGCTAATATGCACTGGATTATGGAGAAAGCCAGAGAGAACTGGATATGGAAACACTGATTGGTTCAAAATTGGGAAAGGAGTACGACAAGGCTGTATATTATGCCCCAGCTTATTTAACTTATATGCAGAATACATCATGTGAAAGGCTGGACTGGAGGAATCCCAAACCAGAATTAAGACTGCCGGAAGAGATATCAACAACCTCCGATATGAAGATGATACCACTCGGATGGCAGAAAGTGAGGAGGAATTCAGGAACCTTGTAATGACAGTGAAAGAGGAGAGTGCAAAAAACAGTCTGAAGCTCAACATCCAAAAAACTAAGATCATGGCCACTGGTCCCATCACCTCCTGGCAAATAGAAGGGGAAGATATGGAGGCAGTGACAGATTTCACTTTCTTGGGCTCCATGATCACTGCAGATGGTGACAGCAGCTCCAAAATTAAAATATGCCTGCTGCTTGGGCGGAAAGCGATGACAAACCTCGATAGCATCTTAAAAAGCAGAGACATCACCTTGCCAACAAAAGTCTGAATAGTCGAAGCTATGGTTTTCCCTGTAGTGATGTATGGAAGTGAGAGCTGGACGATAAAGAAAGCTGACCGCCAAAGAATTGATGCTTTTGAATTGTGGTGCTGGAGGAGACTCGAGAATCCCCTGGACTGCAAGGAGAACAAACCTATCAATTCTAAAGGAAATCAACCCTGAGTGCTCACTGGAAGGACAGATCCTGAAGCTGAGGCTCCAATACTTTGGCCATCTCATCAGAAGAGAATACCCCCTGGAAAAGACTCTGATGTCGGGAAAGTGTGAAGGCAAGAGGAGAAGGGGACGACAGAGGACGAGATGGTTGGACAGTGTCATCAAAGCTACCGATATGAATTTGACCAAACTCTGGGATGGAAGGGAAGACAGGAGGGCCTGGTCCATGGCGTCATGAAGAGTCAGACATGACTAAATGACTAAACAACAACAAAAAGATTAAAACAATTTATAGCTAGATTTATAAACACTTGTCACCACCAGATCACAGTTAAGAGAATAATCTGAAAAATTTACTGTAGTAAATCTTTAACCCCCCCCCACACACACATCAGCAATGAAGGGGACAGGCATAGGTCTTTTGGGATGCTGCTCCAAAATTGTTAACAACTATGCAAGAGCACATCCCTGCACCATTGTTCTCTGAGAACCCCAAATGTTATTCAGGTGTTCACGAGCTTACTCATATGGCTAAATGGGTGGTGCAAGTGTCAATATGCACGAATGTCCAGCTGCTAAAGGTTTCCACACAAATGAAAGCATTTTAAACCTTCATGTGCTTTCTGCCAGAGTCTACAGGGAGCTTTGTAAAGCATTGGGCTGAACAGTTAAAAAGTTCTCTTCAGACCCTTGCACCTACCATGTTTCCCCGAAAATAAGACAGGGTCTTATATTAATTTTTGGTCCAAAAAACACATTAGGGCTTATTTTCAGGGGATCCTTTATTTTACAGTCATATCATCTTCCGGCTGCTGCTCAATGCTGCATAATGGTGGAGGGCGGGGTTTTACTTAACTAGGGCTTATTCTTGCGGTAGGGCTTATATTACGAGCATCCTGAAAAACCATATTGGGGCTTATTTTCAGGTTAGTTCTTATTTTCGGAAAAACAGGGTAACTGCACAAAGGCCTAAGACACTGTCAGATCCTTCCTGGGTAGAGCCTCATGGTACAGTGGTTAAATTGTGTTACTGTAGTCAAGAATCTGTCTGGGACCTGAGTTCAGTCCTAACAAATTCAGGCATTTGGCTCAAGGTACACTCAGTCTTCCATCCTTCTGAGGCTGGTAAATTGAGTACCTAGCTTGCTGGGAGTGGGGACCCAATGTGCAGCCTGCACAATTTTGTTGTAAACTACCTAGAGAGTGTTTTAAGCATGATGGGGCAGTATATAAGCAGCACCCTTTGCTTTGCCTCCTTAGAGAGCAAGAGGTAATTTATCAGAAAGCTTGCTTTAGTTGTTTTCTTGTTCTTGCATGCCCTCTAGTTGCCATGTATAACACAGAACGTTCTTATAACCAAAGAGGCTTCACAGGTTTGGATTACACAGCCTATGTTTGATCCTTCTCCAAAAGAAACTGGAGGAGTTCCCTTGACCTGTTTCCTGCAGCTCTTCAATTAAAAAGCTGGGCATTGCCAGCTCCAGGACTGGACAAAGGTTCTCCCCACTGCAGCTAGGAGTGCAGGAGAGCCTTACAGAGCTGGCCACTCCCACTGAACTGTGGGCCTGTTTTCCCATGCTTTGATCATTCTGTGACTTGAGCACAAGAGAATCTGCTGTGCAATATGGTGTGGCAGAAGAGACTCCATTCAGATCTAAACTGAAAGTGGAATTCTATATATGAAACAGGAAATTTCCCTGTCTCACACTATGCCAGGATTAAGGAACCTTTAGCCCTCCAGATCTTCTGGGCTTCTACAATCCCTTTCCTTTCACCACGCTAAATGGGGCTAGTGGGGACTGACACCCTGAGGCCATATAAAATGCAGTCCTGGGAGGGACTACTCTTTGCCTACTCCCCATTTAAAAGAAAAAAGCACTCCAGCAAGAAATCAGTCATTAGATGAACCTCATGTTTCAGTAAGTACTCATGTGTGTATGTGGACCCTTTGCTACATCAAAATATTATCTAAGCCAGGATAACCCTCTGCCTGTGGTTGTTGCCAGATATGAACTTCTACTAAAGTAGTGCATGGACCCCCAAGTTTGTTTTTTTGCCATTTCCACTGGTGTTGCTGCCAGCACAAAACAAACAGAACAAGGAAGGGGTTAAAAAAAACCACCATTTAAATGCAATCCCTGCATCCCAAGTAACAGCATGTGTATCTTAAAACACTATATGTACGTATATTGATTTACTTTTTACTAATAGGCTAGCACTCAGGATTTGGAAACATTCCAATCTCCATATAACTAAAGTATGCCAGCAGTTTCCCGAAAGGATGAACAAGATACAAAAGGAAGGAGAGAAGCAAGTCCCATCAATATCTTAACATCTCCTATATCTATCACCAAGAATGGTAGCTAGGAATTTGCTCTTTTTTAAATGCAAAGGGGCTTCAAGGGATTTACAGTATTATCAATGATTTAATAGTACAGTAAACCCAAGCACAGCTTGAAAAACACATACACAACAAAAGACTTATATCATTTTAAGCACATTACTAGCTCTGGAGATCCTCCACTTAGGGGCTTCGTAGCTTATACTTTGTCCTTTTAACAAAATGAAGTGCTAATAGTAAACTCAGACATATGAACAGGCACACTGCCAAAGTGGTTCAGTGCTGTTAACTGCCACATCTGGGCCACAAACTGATGCAACAGGTAGTGCCATTACATCATCATGAACTAATGCTATCTGTGTAGCCTGCAACCAGATGCATGCAGTCCTAATACTGTGAATATACTGAAGTTGTTGAAGGACAGAATTCTATCCGTATGTTTCCTCATACCTTACTGTGACCTGAGATTTTTTTTCAGTGCTACAGGAAACCAGAACACAACCACTCCCCACAGAGTTTTAAGTAATTTAACCTAAGACCCTGTAGACTGGAAAATGTGGGAATGCAAAAGGGTCTTCACTTTACTTCCCAAGTTGCCTGTCCAATATGAGTCATATTAAGATGACTGAACATACAACAAAATTACTGTATTAAAACAAACATTTGCAATAATGGCTAACAGTACCTGCTGTTGGAGAGTTTGCATGATGAGATTTTTTGGGCAAATTAAAGATCTGTTCACCAGGATCAGGTGGTGGAATGGCATCTTGGCCTTGCCGGGCCTCCACTGGATCATACTCCTTCCCATCATAATTAGCATCAAAGAATTTCTTAAACCACTGTATGAAGTCCAAGTTGTCTTGGAAGCGCCCTTTTACTAATTTCTCCACTGGAATAACCTGTGTAGAGCAAATTAAGACAAGACTGATTCTTAAAGTGACAACTGAACCACTTTTATACAAAAATCCCCAACACACACAGTAAGGTAACAAATAGTAATGCTGTGTAGCAATGCAAGGGAAGGTATTTATTAAGTATATGTATAAGACTTGACTGCTTATCTAGGCCACCAGTTAATTTGCTATGCACCCGCTCACACTGTTCATATCCCAAAAGGATTCTGGAGCTTCACTGATCCACATCGTTTAGTCCACATGAAACATTTATGCTATACTATGATGATGTCTACAGTTATCTCATCTAGAACTACATGGCATTCCTGCAGCCAGGAGTACTGAAACTTAGTCAAACATACTTAATTCTCTGCTCTGTTGTATGAAGACTTTTAATATGGTTCAATACCTTCTGTTTTCAGTGTTCTTTGAAAGAGCAGGAAAAAGTTTAATTCATCCAATTCACTGACAGAACAAATAGGTCAGCAAACTACTGAACATCACATATGCAAGAAAAAGCACTCCTCAAAATAACCTCCTAAATTCAAGTATATGAAAGCATATAGTTCTAAAATGTTTTGTGTATACTCAAGGATACTCTGTCTACATTCAGAAAAACAAACTTTCTAACCTCCTACTTGTATATGCAGAATTCCTTTAGGACAAGATAGGAATAGAATAAAATTAGATACAGAACATCATACAAAATAGCTACCAGAAATAGAAATTGGACTCTATGAGAGCAAAGAGGCTGAACCACAGTCACTCTGATTTTGGGGAGTTGGGAGAGAGAACATGTTACAACACTTTACAATGGGTTTCTATCTGTTTCAAGTCCTAGTCAGTCATTCTGTGATCTGGAATCAACCCAGTTACAGGAGTCCCTCCCCATCATCAAATGGGTCTTGTGAGTTGCTGCCAGTTTGAAGATGAGAGGTTCCTGCTTGTGGTAGGCTCTACGTGTCACAAAAAACCTTGGAAAAATCTGGATTCTCATTTGCATGTAAAACCTACATATGTACCATGTTTCCCTGAAAATAAGAGAGGGTCTTATATTAATTTTTGCTCCAATAAACACATTAGGACTTTTTTTTCATGGGATATTTTATTTTTTTCATGTACAACAATCTATATATATTCAGATATAGTCATGTTATCTTCTACCTGCTGCACAGTGATGGAGGGCGGGCTTTCACTTAACTGGGGCTTATTTTTGGGGTAGGGCTTATATTACAAGCATCCTGAAAAAATCATACTAGGGCTTATTTTCAGGTTAGGTCTTATTTTCAGAGAAACAGGGTATGTGTCGCTGGTTGAATGAGCAAAATGACATGGGAGGGTATTATGCTAGCTTCTCCCCTGTAAAGGTGGTGAATGTGGTTTAACAAGGTTCCAATTAAATAGAACTAAAAATTGTTTGAAGATCTCTTGTGGCTTTGAGGTAAAGGCTTTTCTACTTAGCTAGTGGGTGGGGGCGGGTGAGATTTGGCACCAGGAGGCCTTGAGATACATCAGGAATTTCAACAAGTATAAGGAGGCTTTCTTTTCTCTACTCAAAGAACCTTCAGATTTAAATATTATAATTTCATCTGATGTTATGTACAACAATAAAATTATTACATACTTAGGATCAGATTATCCTTTAAAAAAAACAAATTATTTTTGGTTTGTTGATCACCAGTAATGCTTATTTCCTTCAACTGAGTGAAGCACTGTGAACTGGAAACATGTCTCTGAAATGTAAAAACCCTGTTTTAAACTGGTCCAAGTTTACCTTATCCACATTCATTCTTTTAAATGACGCTTGTAGAAGTTTGAAGTTATGAATGTACTCATGTTCCAGTTTAGCTTGAAATTTTACTTTCTTCAAACTAATACACCCAGGAAACAACATATCCATGAACTGGCAGTAAGCTGCTCCTGAAACAAGAAAACATAATTATATTAATCACTATGCAAGCAAATTAAATTATAAACCATTTTTATACAATGGAACTAGAGTTACTATCTGCTGTTACGACACAATACTATAAAATGTTTGCCTAATTTAATAATTCAAATACTGTACAGGAAGAATGCATGATTATTATAGCTATGTGGCTCATTTTCATGTTTTCACCATTATAAAAAGAGAAGCAAACAGTAATATTGAGAAATATTACTAGATAGAACAAAAACAATGGACGGAATCCTATTGGCTATTTATGCTCACATTAAGTGCAATGACTTAAATCTCAGTGGCTAACTGCCACTAACAAACAAGTCACACCTTGCATGCCAATATCATTACTTGGTATGTGAGACAAGGAGCAGAATTTATAGCAGTGTACTTGTGCTGGCATAAATAACTAATAGGATTCTGACCAGATTATTTAAATAAAAGAAAAAAATCATATTAATATACCTAACTAAATAAAACACACTCAACAGATTTATGTGCCACTGATTTTAAAGTTTTTTTGGCACAGGTTTTTGTAGGAAACTGAATAGTAGCAGGTTGCAGTCCACAAATTCTCATGTGTAATATTTGCTCATTTTCAAGGTGCCACTAAACTCTTTGCAAAGACTGCCACGATCCCCTAGAAAACTGATTTCTACTGCATTTTTTAAAATGTGTTCCAGTATAAAACAGATATGCTTATCTAAAACATTTGTTTATTTAAAATATTTATATGCCACCTTTATCTTAAAGGATCAAAAGCAGCTTACAGTATTAGAAGAAACAAAGTTAAAAGCTAAAATAAATTATTACAATATTAAGAAAGAAACATATCATATTGAAATTTATAAATAAGAACAATATTAAGAGCACAAATAAAACAACAGAATACAACAATCCCTTTAAAAAATCCCCTTGGTCAACCAGTTATTTAAAGACTGCCTGAAAGAAAAGGTCTTCACCTGCTTGTGGAAGGACAACAAAGATGGAGCCAGCTTGACTTCCCATAGGAGTTCCAGAGTCTGGGAGCAGCAACAGAGAAGGCCCCTCTGTCCCATAACCAGGTCTGAAGCCAGACTGAAATGTATCTAGATCATCTATTTCATCCAGGAACCTCTACAATTGAGGTGCCACAACCCAGTCTAGCACCTTACCCTGGAATGGAATATTAGAGACTGACTGGTAACTATGCAATACCGGGGGGCGGGGGGAACCCTGGTTGACAAACCTGAGTGAGATTGACACCACCAGCCTCATCCAACCAAGTCTCTGTAATATAAGTCAGATCAGCATGCTCAAGTAGGATCAAGACATGGATGGCTGTTGTTTGCCCATTACACAATCTGGCATTAAACAGCAGCATTTTCAACCCAGGAGGTCTGTCACTAAGGCTATGCAAACTATTTAAAACCAGAGACAGCTTAGAGGCAACCAATGCCCACTTGCCCTTACTTACATAATGCTGTAACTGCTGTCCCCCACCATATCTCCCCCTGCCCTGAACAATTCTAACAGCTAACTTCCCCACTACTACCCCCCCCCCCGTAAAAACACATCCTTCCACAAGCAGGTGGACACCCATGTTAACAATTTCTACCCTGGTACATAAAAGGGGAACTGACAGTGACTGGTGACAATATCAGAATAAAATAGAATGGGAGGGGTTGATTAGGGAAGATTATGATATATTAAATACAGGCAAGGAAGGAATACAAAAAGAAATATTCTAGACGTCCTCCTAGAGATCTACTTGTAGGCTCAGCATCCACATCTCTTGAAACAGGTAGTAAACTGCATTTGTATGGTGCCCACAGTCACATGCGAAAACTTCACCACAGCTCACTAATTCCAGTCAGCGACCACTGATGAAAGCTCCTGCCATTGTCAAGAAGCAACTTGCTGTGATCATTGTGAAAAAAGCTGCCTCCAAAATGTCTACTGAATTATGAAAAAGAATTTGGGAGACAAAAACAGTAGGTATGGACAACTGGCCATATTTTCTCCACTTGACGATGACTGTCTTCACTGTGTTCCCTCCACCTAAAAGATTTCAGTTTGTTGTTCAACTCAGTTGTACAGTTCATAGGTCTCATTAAAGGTAGAAAAAGTTCTGGAATGATTTAACTGTCTCATTTTTTTACATCACAGACACCTGCCATTTTAACAGGGGTGTGTAAGCTTTTTATATCCACTGTATGACAATGGACTTGTGTCAGTGGGAGTTAGTAAGAGGAGTTTGGCCTTTGAAAGGCATTTGCCTGGTTAGTACTTGGATGGATAAGCAGTAGGAATACCACACCACCAGGGATCTCCATGTAGGGCTACAAAAGTCTCCTGCCTGAAACCGAGGAGAAAAATATTTTGCCTCAAAATATTTCTACTGAGGGATTTAGACCAAGACATGCATACCTGGCTGTCAGAACTTTCATATTTCCATCATTATGTCTGCATTTGCCAAGTTCAAAAGATATAGCGCTATTCTATAAGCACACACACACACATCTACCCATCACTCTTTCCTTGACTACTGGCTAGTTTTGTTGCTAGTACCGAGTACTGCCTGTCCAGGAAGTCACTTTCATGCAATACACTGATATGAACACTTTAGAGGTGAAGCTGAAACAAAGGGAAATGGAAAAGATCTGCAGATAGTCCTTAGGTCAGGTCTCTGTCTCAGAGAACATTTCAAAATAACTTATTCACACACATAGTGTTTATTGATCATCCAAGTTATTTAACAAAAAAAGAGACTGCAAAATCTTTACATAAATAGACTCTCAGTTGGCAGCAGATACTGTACTCTAATACTTGGGGTCTAGTGCTAGTAACAATACTTAAAAAATTTAGAAATCTTTTGACCAAAAAAAGAGCCATTCTAATTTAAACATTATTTGTAGTAGATAAACATCAACCCTGCCTGGGAACTATTGTAGAGTTGGGTACAATATTCCTCCCCTCGGGCTCTTGTAAAAATTACAGTATAGAAACAAATGGACTTCAACATACCATCTAAACAGGTCTAGTGATACATGGGCGTAACCTCTTATCACAGGGTATGTTACCTTTTCCATCTCTGCAGAGGGCATGACATTAACTTTTGCTAGAAAGAAGGCTCTCGATGCTTGGACCCTGACAATTTGCTCAAGCAGAGAGCATATGCCTTACTACCAGGGATGTTTAGACCAAATACTGCTAAGTGACATGGTCCATGCTAACAAATTCTGTCTGTCAGAATCCTAGATCCTCTGCTTAATCAAAGATTTCACATACATACTACAATAATAACTACATTGCTCTTCTATGCAGATGCCAAACACAGAAATCTTTCAAGTCACAACTTTTCTCAAAGAGGAGATACATGGGTCACTGGATGTTAGACAAACATAAGAATCCACTTCACTGAAGTGACAAGTACAATTCCAGTAGCAAAAGGCATGTCTCCAAGCTTAACTCATAATAAGCCCAATGCCCAGTTAAGGATTAGGTGAGACACACACATGAGAGGCACCCAAAATATATCTCAAAAACAAGGCTTGAATCCTTTTAACTGAGGGATGAGAAGTAACCCACACTGGTAGTCCATGTAACAGCTGTGAGGTTAGCTTAGCTTTGAAGATCTTAACTGAGATAACCTCAGTATTCAGGAAACTGAATACACACAGTATTCTCAGGAAACATGCTTTAGAAATAGGATCTGTCACAGCAAAATAAGCTAATGAAAAGAACAAATTTTAAAAGAAGAAGAATCCATTCTATGAGATTTGAAAAGTGTCCTTCATCAAAGCATGTATTAGCAATTCTACCTGATATTCATTGTCAAGAAATACACAGTGGAATCACATAGTTACAAGGAACTTGCTTTGAAAACTGTCCTTCCAGAATGGATAAAAATTATAACTACATAACCCAAACGTCAATTTCTCCAATACGCTATTTATGTCTGCAGGCACAAGTCACAATGTAATATAGGTTGAGTTAATGGGGAGCTGATGAGATTGAAACGTAAGGAAAATAGTATGACTCCCAATGTCAGAAGAACATTGGGTTAGGAAAGGAGTTTTCAGTGGCTGTAGCTGAATTGTGTAAAAGCTTGTGATTACCCAATGTTAGATGCTGTCCTTTTGCAATCACAGACTGAGACATGAGGTAGGCTCTGGTGTCAGATATTGGTAGGTCCTAGGTAAACATTAAATGTGGCTGAATTTTTCCTCCTTTGTTTTAAGGGAAGACATAATTTGGTTTTTAAGAGGTTTCTTGAAACCCTGAATGCTATCAGGAGTATGTGTTTTAAAAGTTAGGATGTATTTTTGTTTAGGGTTTTCACAGTGGCTTTCATAGGGTTTTCATGTTCCTTTTTAACTAACTTGAGTTCAAGGACTTACACTATGTGGATACATATTAATTTTTTAGATGAGTAATTGCAGGGCCATTTTTGTCTAAAAGGCACATTCACACCCTCTCTCAGGAGAAAGCTATGATGCACAGCTGACATTTCTCAGTTAAATATCATATTATTATACACATCATAAAACTATTCTTTGATATTGTACAGTAGCTCATATGGAGAAGGAAGGTTTTTTTTTTAAAAAAAAAAACGCAATTAAAGTTACCAGGCGTCACTGAAAGGAAGAAAATCCGAAGCTTACAGCATTCAAATGCACATGTTTTTCACATCTTTCTGAAAGTGGTTCAGTGTTTCCTTTACAGCTTGATGTGCTTTAATTTCCTCTGAGATATTGATTCAGTCATCAATGTTTTCAATAGACACAGGCTAGGTTACAGATTGTATTTGCAAATGTGGCTGTGTTGGCTACATGCATGAATGGCAACTTCTTTTGACCCAATTAAAGTGCAGAAATTCTATACTGCTTGGAAGAAGGCAGACTGTACCACTGCCTGTTGCTGCAGCTCTGGCAGAATAACCACCTTTTTCTTAACAATTTACATTTTCATTTTTATAAGAAGAAAAACAGGAAATAAA